TTTATTTTCAGGAATACTAGTGCTTGCCTCTAAGGCAGTAGCCCTATTCTCCAAATACACCAAAAATTCGTTTAAAGTCGGCAACTTGGAACAATCTCTGTCAATCTGATATGCACGGTTGGTAAACTGGTCTACCTTGCGACTCAGAATGCAAACCATCATCATATCCCAGCTATCGACTGGCTGAGCTAAATTTTTTAAAGCTCCAACTTGCTGCTTTATATTGCTTACAAATTCTCTGAGGGCACAAGCTGTACCCTTTTGTATAGACTGTATATCCAAAATAGAATAAATATGCGAGTTGATAATCATAGCTTCATTATTGAATCTATTATTTAGAATATTCAATGCCTCTTGATAGGAAGAATTTATCAAGGGTAAGTTGTTGATTAGGCTCAATGCTTCAGCTTTTAAATAATTTCTTAGATAGAATAACTTTTCAACATCCTTTAAATTTCTGTTTTTATCAACAACAGCCGTGAATATGTCAATAAAAGATTTATAATTTGTTAAATTCTTCCCATCAAAAGTAGGTATTTCGATTGGTGGTAATTTGGTAGTTGAAATTAAATCATTGTTTTGATTTTGAGTTTGAATATTTTGAGAATTATTAGGGGCGATTGATGAACTGCTAATATTGGACTTAGGTAAACATTCATTGATACTTACAATTACATCAAAGTAAAGATTCTCCACATCGTCAATTGGTTCTTCACAGTTTTTATCAATGCAAATAATTTCTATTTGTATTTCTTGTATTTTTTGTAATTGTTCTTGCAATAGTTCTTTACGAACCAAAAACTGCTCAATTTTATATTCAGTGATTTGATCATCTTTGTGATCGGAGATGTACCTTTCAATTCGAACTATTGTGTCGATTGCTTGCTTTTTCTTTGCGAACAACTTTTCAATTTGCTTTTTAGACATTTTTAAAATAAAATTATCTATTATCTGATCCTCAAAAATTAAGTTAAAATAATAAAAAAAAAAAAATAAATAAAAAATTCCTAATGTTTACAATAATTTACAGTGACAACTAAACTTTAGGTTATGTTACCAGCGCAAAAATGACTTCGTGGTCAGAGTTACGACTCCGAACCACTTCAAAAAGGCACGCACAACTCCTGGACACTGCACTGATTTGGTTCAGTTCAACAGTTCTCCTCTCGGTTCTGCTATGCTTGGGAATTGCACTGTTTGTTATGGTTCACTGAACAAACCTGGCACGTGACACTTGACAGTTCTCAAAGTATGGCGCCAAGGCTTGGGGGCCGGAGGGGGCTTGGCTTGGCTTGGCTTTGGACTTTGAACATTTGAATCTCCAAATCTATTCAACATTTAGCAAAGGGGCTGAAATTGCCCATCCGGCTCGAAGGACCATTTTATGTGTGAAACCACATAAGACGGACTAGTGGACTGTATGAAGGTGGATTCGGATTTGAAATAACACTTAAACACTACTTTGTACACTATATTTACACATTTAATATTTACACTTGATTTTTGTAAGATGGCTAAAGAGGCCAGGGCTTACTTAGATGCCAGTAAGGCAGAGCTAGTTTTATAACTGAATATTTGCTCACAATTTTTAAACTTTTTTATATTTTTTAATGCAAAGCACACGTGTGTCTCTTCTGTTCGGAGAGCAAAATCGAACTCTCTTTTTATTGGTCGCTTGATGAGTCGACACATTTTGACGTTGACATACACATACAAAACAAAGATGGAATCTCTGCAAAAGAGATAGAAATATTGTTGGATGTTGTTTCCAACAACTTGCCGCCTGGAACTACTCCTGTTCATATTAAAGAAAAAGGGCAGTCAAGCACCCGTGAGAAACATTTGGCGATCGTTGCCACCTCCAGAGAGCTTCCGAGGTCACCAAACCTTAACTCTCTTGATTTTTTTTCAAGTAAGTAGTAAATGTTCGGTTTTGATAGCCACAATAAGTGATGGGATTACATGTTTCAGCTATATTTTTTTTTAAATTCGAAAACAAATAAAAATGATGAACGTAACCGAAAACAGGAAAAAGCTTCAAGCACGGCGTTTATTGAAGCAAGTAGTGTTTCGACCTGTATCAGGTTTCAATTCAACTCAATCGGTGCTTGCACCCACAATACTATAGCTACAGCAGGCAAAAAATCTGTAGTGCTCTGAGAAAAGGACTCGTATCAAGATAGAGTGCTTAAATGTGGCCAGCAGTTTGCAGAATCGCTCCATTGTCCAAGACATGAATGCGACCTCTCTGACTAGCACCTCCAAATCCACTCTGGTCCCAGTATTCCAATCGTCAGCATCTCCAGGCAAGGCCGCTACTGCATAAAAACTAAAGACCGTTACCAATTTCAATACCAAACCATGAGATGTCAGAAAATGCTTATTTATGCATTTCTCTCGCAGCGTTCCAGATAGATTCTCTAAAAACGCGCGATATATTCGCCGAATCTAGATCTCAGCGAATCTCTGCAACCCCGTCAAATATATAGAGACAAGTTCTCCAACCAAGCAATTTATTCATGAGATTTACTCATTAGTTCAATAACTTACTCATTTTCAACTCAATGTCTTTAGAAAAACACAATCTCAGCAGCAACTTCAAGCCAAAGGACTCTCAGGCTTCCGAGCCAAAAGTCACTGCGGACCCTATCAATACCCCTCACAGCTCCATTACTTCTAACAAATATTATGAGACCCCAGTTTTGAGAGCCCCTCAAAATCAAATTCAACAAACTACTGCCAAGCCCAAGCCCACAGTGGTCCCTATAATCTTGAGAAACTCAAAGACACTGGAACTTCTCTTGAAGATTATCCATATCCTTTCGACGCGATTAGAAAGGATCGTTTGGGCATTTCTATTAAACAAAGAATCCCTGGTGACTATAGAAACATCACAAAATGGCTTAAACAACAAACATTTGAGGGTAACTTGTGCAACTGATCATCACCGAAGACATTAAAAGGTTTCCTCCTTAAAATACGGCCCTATAATATGATTCCGTATACAATTTCTACCACTGTCCACCACGGAAGTCGATGATATCTACTAAAAAACCTCGAATTGTATATACAATGAAACATAAACGGCTATCTATCCCATCTAGAGCTATAGCAGCTTCTAATTCATGATGAAAATCTTACATTAATTGCCTTACAAGAAACACATTTTCGAGATGATAAGCTTCTCTGCCCCAGAAGTTTTAAAGGATTTTATCACAACAGAACAAATGGAGACAGAGCATGTGGTGGGGTGGCCATATTTTTTAAAGAGGAACTGGAGGCCGTAAACGTCCCCTTATCACCAATCTTGAAGCTGTCGCAATCTCTATTTCCCTACCACAACCTCTGTCATTATGCAAACCTGACAAATCTAAATCCAATCCATCTTCTTACAGACCAACCTCTCTCACTTGCATTATGTGCAAGCTACTAGAACGGATATTCAACAATAGACTTACATGGTACATACCTTGAACTGAACAACAAATTACCACCAGAACAAAATGGATTCCGGAAAAATAGATCAACCGAAGACAACCTGATTGACTTGGAAACAGAAATCCTCTACGCAATCGTAAACAACCAAAATTGTCTAGCAGTATTCTTCGACATCACTAGAGCATACGATTGTGCCTGGAGATATAATATTTTTAAACAGCTTAATCAATCCAATCTTTTCCTAGCGGCAATCAAAGCTTGGCCAATCAAATAAAATCACCTGTCAAATTTCGTCTTTTCGCCGACGACTTGGTTATAAGAATTAAAAGGAAAAAACTGCAATCCATGACCAAGTTTGTGCAAGAAAATATAAAAAGGGCACTTTCCACCCAACACCCGTCATACACCAATATTTCCTCTAACAGATAAAGAGAAATATTCCAAAACAAGGAGCGGATCAAACCAGCGTTCCACGAGAGACAGAACAAATATTGTGAAGATCTACATATACAATTCCCAGAATTCCTGATTACTTATGAAACCTTAGTCGCACCCTATAGTCCAAAAAACGGGGATCTGAAAAGAGGGTTTATAGTCCAAGAAACGGGGATCTGAAAAGAGGGTTTACCTCAACATAATTAGAAGTTAACATTTTTTGGGGGGGATCGGTTCATTTTCATGTGCTTAATAACATATTAAGTTTGCGACTTTGTACTTCCAGGGTTTTTAGTTAGGGGTGGTTTTTAGGGGTAATTTGCGGTTTATGAAGATCGCTGCTTAAAGCGATGGTCCAATAGCAAAAAGTTTCAAATGATTGTTGTAGCTGAAGTTTTTTGCTATATAAAACTCCGGGACAGCACCCCTTTATCTTCTATAGTTTTTTTTCTGCAGCGTCTTGAATAGTAGCATGTTTTTGTTGAAGGTCACTGAATCAACGTTTCGCCTGTTTGCGCTCATTTGATGCAGCAGCGGCCGAATGCATAATCCGATTTCAATTTTTCAAACACCACATTATTGCTAATAAAATGCAATCTCCAATGCTTTTTTGTTCGAATTTTTTGCTCGAAAATTAAGCGAGCACGGGTTTCCCTAATGAGCGAGGAAGTTGTAAATTGCATCGAAAACTACCCCTTTCTTGCATTCACTGTAATTTCTAAACGGGGCCAAATATTTGGTGATAGTTTTCAACAATCGGCAGCCCATTTATTCCTTTCATATTGCCCCAGCGGATTTTTTTTTTCGTTAATTACTCAATGACTTATTAGCCTGAACACGTCACGCGGAATTTTTCAAAAAGTAAAAAATGAATAAAATTGTCACACAGCGCTGAACTTTTGTACGATGGCATTATTTATATATACTAACTAACTAAGGAACTAGAGTTAACAATTGTCATATTTATCACTTTCTTATTTTTCTCCCTAAGAAAATTTTGACGACTTCGGCTATTTTTATTAAAATTTTTCCGGAGGCAATACTTAGTGATTGGAAGTTTTCAAACTCACCTCCTGCATTTACTTATAAATTTTAAAAGGTATATCTATTACATTTATTTTTTACAGGACGCGTATACGGGGTATATCCTCTAAATCTCTAATTAATCTCGAGAATACAATATACCTATGCGTTTCAGTCTTTAAATATAATAAATGGTCCGCCATTAAAAATATCAAATTGTTAGAGAAATGAAAACGTCAAACGGCACATCATTTGAAAGAAAAGCATCAGTCAACACGTATTTTATGAAACAATTCTATCAATCATAACATTTGATAAAAGGTGTTATTATTATTAATATTCTAGTTATCTAAGTGTTAAGTACTAAAGTCAATCCGATTCATAAAAAACAATGGTATTTTGGATTACTGATAAAAACAATCGTTTGAAGGCTGGACATTGCGTTTATCAAATTTAATCCATTTGGTTTAATTTCTCTTTTTTCTTGACAGGTATATCTTTTTTTTTTAAATCAAGAACATCATTTTAATAACTAATATTAAAAAGCTAATATTCATATTATATGGTTTTGGAGTAGAAGCACTGTTAAACCGGATGGACGAGGAATGGTGTTTAAGTTACCGAAAGCCTGATAATTAACAGCCTAGATATGTTTTTTTTTTTTACTTGACAGTACAAAATTTTATTAAGTCTTAAAAAATATAAAAATATGAATATTTTTTAGATCTATGACTATTAGAATGGAATAATAGACTGTCAGAAGAATATATTTTTAATGGTTGGTGCCCTATTTTGTACACCTTTAGTTCAAGGGAAATGTACTAGAGAAGGTTGAATGGCACTTTTTAGTGATCAAATGCATTTTATTATATACTTTAAGAGATATTTCTACAAACAAAATGTAATTATTGAGATAAATTTTAAGTAGGTACTCTGGTTTTGAGGCTGAATTTTATTTACATAGTTCTAGATGGCATATCTTAATCGACATATGTATATTAGTTAATAACTTTGCATATCTCTAAATATCACTATTTTATAGTTACAACCGTCAGTGAACTAACTACAGCATTGATAAAATTCCGATTTCAATTTTTAATATGTTTACAATACAGACACGTAATACCTAATGAATGTGACTCAACTTTCAAGCTGATTGAGGAAAAAAAATTTGCAAACTTAAGAAAATTATTTTAAGCAAAATATAACGAGACAATAAATAATGAATTTTTTTTTTTAAGGTTTTATATATTTGTATTAAGCAGAGGTCATTATGTCCTTACGATGTAAATTGTAATAATTGACAAATCAGCTTTTTGGGTGATGCATCAATGATAGCTAAACGTTTTTGTTATAGGTACCTACATAAAAATGTCTGACATTATGTTTTCATTAAAATAGCATGATTATGAAATAATGTTATTCCCATTCAATATTTTAAGTAACTTATATGTGATTATTACAGTATTCATCTCAGAGCCCATCATAGAAAACTGTATCCCAATGAAAAAAATATTGTTATCTAATATCTTAATAACTTCATTGAGTGAGTAATATTATATCCAGCTAAAAGAACTGCTGCATAAAATCTGAAATTTTTACATTTTAATAATCTCAATCATTACCTACGTACCTAACTAATTACTTGGTGCAATATCATTGGCCAAATTAAAATTAAATTCTAAATTCTTTGACAATAAATAATAAATATGTAACAAAATAATGATATTATGAAACAATATTGAGGTTAGTATTCCCTGAGGTATTCCCAGTATAATTTGTGATAAGGAAAAAGAATGACAATAAAATGTTCGGTTTTCGGAAGTATCTCGCATAATAATAACTGGGACTCAGACGTATGTACGTATTCATTCGAGAATTTTTTTTTACTTTTTAATTGCTTAGTATTAAACCGATGGTGTTCAATATGTTTTATGATGAATAAAATACTTAATAGGTACCTAAAGTTGCTATGAGAGCTGCTAAGTACTTATTCCAGCAAAATTTGCTCCTCACGGATAGCAATATATGAAAAATAAAAACAATCCGGTTTTGGTGATAATGAATCAATATTGCTGAAATAGATGTGATATTTAGTTCCACTTGTTCTTGAAATAAAATACGTGTTTGTCCCAGTTATCCTGTTTTTAGAGAGAGGCCCGCCAAAAACTTTTCACTCAGGGTTTTTCCGTTGTTTAGTCGGTATCTACCTAATAAAACAAAACACTTTCGGAGTCATCGATTTTTGCTTGGACAAGAACAAAGTTTTTGGTGTCATCCTTCGAATATTAAATATCAAAGGGGTGAAATATCATTTTGATAGTCCTCTTTACCCTGATGACTTACGACTTCTGTTAGGTATGTTTTAAGTTGCTACTATTTTCGTACTTATCGAAATTTTGATTTGACATTGTCTCGGTTAGCTTTACTAACTTAAACATTATATTTGGATGTTCATCAAAATCCAGACTTTCATTTAAAACTGCATTTTTGCAAAACTTCGAGAATAAAAGGGTGGACAATTCCACATTCAAGTGAAAACGCCCTAGTAGATAATAATTCAACCGCAGTGAAATCTTACTGCCAAAATTGTCAATATAATCTAATCCTTAATTTTACCAATGATCAATAATAAACTTAGAAAAAAAAGTTAATTAAAATGTACTTTAAGAAGGTGTGCTAGCTGTTTTTGTTTTTTTTTTTTGCTTCAAAAATAGCGCTTTAATTTCGGAATCAAGTGCCACTTATAGCTCGCAACAACTAAAGAAAAATTTACTTATTCTGGTAGTAGGTACGTATGTCTGAAAATTTACCTCATGTATACAAATCTCCAGTAGAGGTAGTGCTTCCGCTAAACTAATACTCAAGTAAAACCTCCCAGTTATCGAAAATTAACCTGCGATGACGTCAATGCAGAAAACTGGCCCGCAACTATTACCTATTTTTGGAACATAAAAAAAATATTTTTAATTTCATAACATTAGAATAAATTTATACAAAAACAGGTTAAAATAGGTGAATCAAATTTGAAAGAAGTAGCAACAATCACGCTAATTAATTTAAAAACAATTTAAACTGCAAAAAATATAAAGCATGATGCCCATATTCTGGCAATGATGATATACATAAATTGTGTAATACTAAAAAATATAAAATAAGGCAATAAGAGATCTTTGAATGGACCAACTAGACCTAACAAAACATGTTCACTTACAAGGTAGAATATAATACAATTCCATAGAATAACGGGTTTCTGATTATAACGTAACAACAGAGAAAATGTGGGTGAAAAGTTGGGCCACTCTGTTATTGGTTCATCCTTACATAATACTAGGCTTATATCCTTATCAATAATATAGCCGATTACCTTAATTATTATTATTATTATTATTATTATTAACATTACCTATTATTATTATTATTTTTATTATTATACCTTCAATCAGTTCCTGTAGGATGGATAAACTGGCAAAGTTTTGAAACATTTTAAGACTGAAATATTAAAAATGGATTCAAAGATATGAATTATTGAGCAGATAACACAGATGTTAAAATATATGTTGCATTACTACAATACATTTAAATGTTATACCTCCTATTCTACTTCTATATTATATAACAGCTTTTAAGGCGATTTTGGCTTACATTAGAGTGATGCCAGAAAACTACAAATAAAACTTCAGTAAGCAATGTATTAGCGATATACAAATTGTCAATAAAATATATTTTTAATGAAGCGAAAGCTTCATATAAGCTTTGTTGATTCTTAAATATATGTAATTTAAATAAAATCAAAATATATTTTCTTAACTAAGAATAAAAATTATATTGCAGATACTTATGAATATTGACTAGCATTATTCTGATTTGAAAAGTAATTATTATTATTTTAAATGTTTTGTAGTAGGCATGATTTTTCCCCATCAATATAATAGCTCAAAAAATAATATATGTGACGTCATTCTGTTTCTTTTGGATGTACTCACTTAACTATTTTATATCAAGATTCTGAAATGGTGCAATTCTGTGTTAGACTATAATTATTATTATCACAACAAAATAATTTTTTCCGGCAAAACCACTGAGAAAATCATTGAAATAAAAAAAATCATAGGTAATAATCTTGGTAGTCTTTCACTTTCATGATTGTAAATAAATTTAAAAAAAAATGATTAAAAGGAAAATAAGACAATACTAAAATTAAGGTCAATTTTAATAATAACAAAGGTTTTAAAATTCCGTGTTTAGCAAACCGCTGGGCTCATGATTGTCTAACAACTTTAATAAACTTAATGAAATTCTATTCTATATTGAACGTATTTTCATATTGTAGAGTATTTTAAGAGCATCTCCTAAATACTTATAACAAGTTATATTGAAGCTAGACATGATTTTTTCAAGTATACTTTTGATATTGTTACCATGACTTATAATATATTCCTGTAGCTTTTAAGGTGCAGAATGCAGGAAACATAGTATAATGTAATACAATCCAACAAAATAATTAATATAGATGCTAATAACTGAAAACTAGTTGATATCGATTGGGTTAGTTTATTTTGTTTTAAAATTCATCTAAATAAAATGCAATAAAAGATTTAAAGAGAAAATAAATGAATTCATTTGCAAAACATTCTCTAGCTTCAACGTAAGACAATCCACCGATAATAATTTATGTAAGAACCCACATATCTATATAAATGTACCACAGCCATAGAATAACAATCTATGCCCGTGTCTATGTAAGTTTTAAATTTTTGTCTGCATTTTTTCTGTGATGCTGAATTTGTATCACGTAATTGTATGTAGCACCTTTTAAAATTAAATGTTTATTAAAGGTATTTTATATATGTGAAAGGTTTGTACATGTATACCTTCTCCCTAAAATATATAAATTAGTTAGCAAAGCAAGCAAAAATCGTGTTTTACTTTCAACCCCTCAAAGTTTTATATTTCACCTGTACTTTGTGAATTGTAACAATAATATCCTGCATTGACTGCGGGTGACCACGTCAGTTGTTTGGGGTTAGAATATAATTTTTTTAGGGAAAAATAATGAATTAAGATAGGCTATGCTGCATATTAGGGTATCATGTCACATGTTCCATTATATTGGATGAATGATGTCATCAACATCAAAGGCGATCACACGATACCGAGTATAATTATCTTTTATCTATTCTTAATGTCGTCGATTGTGCGTCTTCTGATGGCTATATAAACAGATTCTGGAGCCGCACACTTTTCCACAGTTTTGGCACACCCAGCCTCTGGCAGCATTGTCCATTCCTCCGATCTCTCGCTCCTTCCTGCGGTCCCTCTTTTCGGTCTCGTGACTCGTGTTTGCGCCGCTGTTCTTCAAAAGTTTGTGGTCCATCGTGGACTACTTGACCCCATGAGGACATATCATTTGCCGTCGTCTCCCTGTTGGTGATATCGATGCGGCACTTTCACGAACATCGAAACAGAGTTTTGGGGTATTTTAAGGTCGATATTAGAAAAACGTGAATTTTGTATTCAAGGGGGAAACTTTTTGACCCCATCGTTATTTCGCTAGGGTGCACCCTCTGGGTGGAAGGACTTTCACCCTTCTTTTTTAGATAGGGAAGATGAGTCGAGTGGTACCTTGTCTTGAAGGTATTTTGATTCTCGTCACAACTGTGTACTTTTTTCGAAAATCGAATGATTAGTTCTCAAAATATTTACTGTCAACGTTGCCAAAGGCTAAATAAGAAACAATTTTCTGGCCCTGTTATTCTCAAATTAACACTTTCCTGACTTTCCTTTCGAACACGTCAATTTTAATTTTTTTCGGAAGCATACAAAAAAAGATAATTGACGTGTCCGAGAGGAAAGTGTCAATTTGAGAATAACTGGGCCAGAAGATTGTTTCCTATTTAGTCTATGGCAACTTTGACAGTGAATATCTTCAGAACTAATCATTCGATTGTTGTACATAGTTATGACGAGAATCAAAATACCTTCAAAACAAGGTACCACTCGACCCATCGTCCAGGGGGTGCACCCTAGTGAAAAACCGATGGAGTCAAAAAGTTTTCCTCTTAAATACAAAATTGATGTGTCGGGGCGTTTTTTTTTTTTTAAATCAACCTCAAAATACCCTAAAACGCCTCTGTTTCGATGTTCGTGAAACACCCTGTATGTATTTCAAACACCGGCGGATGGCGTTTCATCTACCTTTTTTTCTCGCAGATTGACGAAAAATTTTGTAGATTTGTTGGAAATGTGTAGGTTGGGTCAGACTATTTAAACCTAGAAATGTTGCATTGTTTTACGAATTGAACTACTATTTGCGTTCGATCGGATCGTTTAATTGAAAAGGTACAACAGTCAGTGCGACTGCAAATAGTGCAGTAATTTTCAGAAAATTGAAGAAATTAAAAAAACTATTTATATCTAAATATAGTATAGGTAGGTACCTCTAGACAATACTTTTCAAGTGAAGAATTTCCATTTACAATCTGCAAGGTAAGTTAAATATGAGTGACTTTTTATTCTAAAATGCAAATAAGTCGAGTCACACTTAACTCAGTTATTTTTTATTTGCTTGGAGTTTTACTTTCAAACTATGTAACAAGCATTTTAATATGCTCGTTACAATCCTTAGAAATTTTCAGTTTGAACGTATTTTTATATTTCTGTGAATAAATACGCCAAATAGGTATGATCTTCCAACGCGGCCCAGCTACTGAAAGTACTCACGTCGTAGTCACCTGTTTCTTAATTTAGGAGATTTCAAATAGGTAACCTTATTTTCGAACTTTCCTGGCTGGGCCGGTATTTTCGTTAATGTAAACAATAGAAAATGTTTGATCTTTCCATTTTTTGGCGCATGGTAAATGGCTATTTCCGGCAGACGTGAGGAAGAAATTTAGCCCTTTAGCTGGCTGCCATGTTCTAAGAAAAACAACACGTAGCTCATCAGGCGATTAAAGCCATTTTTTTTTTATTTTAAAGTATTATTAAAGTAATACCAATACCTTTAATGGGATTTTAATCAGGTAAATCAGAAAAATTCTAACCAAATTGGTTGCTCAGGCTTTTTTTTAACAAAACCCTTTTTGTACTTTGCTGGCTTCTCCTTCTACCCTTTTATTTCAATAAAAGCAACCAGGTTGATTGGAGCTCTGTTCAGTCGAACTGTCAAACCTTCGTGGATTCCGAAACTTGTAACCTGTGCTGTGCCGGCCGAAAACACCAGAGTAGGCTGTTCCGGCCAATCTAGCATACCATTACCGCTGGTGCGATTTCATTATAAACAGACCCTTTTCTGTATTAAATGTTTGTACTACTTTTGATAACAATGTATAAATCGGTGCCAGTACAGGGCCGTAGCTAGAGTCAAATTTAAGATAGGGCATGACAAATTCGACATAGGGCATACACTACTTTCCCCCACCCCCCTAAATTTTGTATAGGTAAACAAAATTTTACAATATATCAAGGTTTACGTTGTATGGTAATTGGTAACTTGAAAACGCATCAAGGTATGTATAATGTATGGTAAAGTATGGTAATGGGTAACTTGATGACGCATCTGATTTGGGATACCTTATAGAGATTTGCATTATGTTGAGGCACCCCAGATGACGTCATAAAGTTACCAGGCATCCTACCTCTCTCGCCTTTATCAAACAACTTTGCAATAAATAACATTTCTGACAAGTAAACAAAACGGCGCGGATTTTCGCGCCGGCTGCCTGGGCCATTCGCACTCTTTCAAAACAAAAACAAAAAAATTCCTCTGTGCAAACGTCAACCATTGTTCATTAGATTTAGGCATTTTCGGAAACATTCATCCTCGCTTACTCGATTTCAGGCCTATCTACTTCAGGCATCATCTACTCCTAAATTTTCTAAAAAAACCTTAATGTAGGTATATTGATTTTTAAAGGTAGGGCATTACCATTTAAAAGATAGGGCTGATTAATGCCCACCTATCTAGGTATATCTATAATTTTTAAGTTTTGAAAATGAATATTTCAAACATTTTGAAATTACTGGGAGAGTAATTCTTTTTATAACTAATATCTGTCGTTTGGAATATTCAGTCGGATATGGTTTGGTGTTGAGTGTTGCAATTTCATTCTAATTTTTCCAAAAATTCACTAAGTAACTTTGAATTGATTTTAAGGAAAACTTCACATTTTTATTATTTCCATTTTGATGTTTTTTTTTTAAAGTAATTGCCCAGATCACTTAGTGAGTCTGTTTTTGCAAGATCGTAACTGAAGTTATATGAATATGCTAATTACCTTTTAATTGCATTGCAAGGCAAACTTTAACTTTTTTATTATTTACATTTTCCTATTGAGACTTACTTACTTATACTGAGATAAGATTCTGGCAATCTTGTATTTATTTTGTAATTCAGGTTCACTGAACACACAACTTAACTTGCTGTATTGTCCGGAAACTCGTTCATTAGATTAGCAACCTGTAAACCCACTTTAGCATATATTGTGCATTGTTTGTTTACTTCTAAAGAGTTTCGTTACAACCCTAAATAATAATTTCAAATTTGATTCTTATAGTATGTAAGAATTTTATTTTTTGATCCTATCTAGATAGGATTCTAGAAATCTTGTATTTATTTTGTGATTCAGGCTCACTGAACACAAAACACAACTTGCTGTACCGTCCGCAAGCTTGTTCATTAGATTAGCTACTTACCTGTAAGCCGACATTAGCATATATTGTGCATTATTTGTTAATTTCTAAAGGAGTTTGCTTACACCTATACCAGTCAAATATGTTTGTTCAAATTTGTTTCTTATAGTCTGTAAGAATTTGAACTTGATACATAATTTGTATCTTGCAGTTTAGGATTTTTAAGCTTGTTTGTTTATACAAATTGATTGTTTGAATAAATACTAATTTTATATCTTGCAGATTTTAAAGTTTGTTTATACAAGTTGATTGTTGGAATAAATACTATTATTCTTGTTGTTTTTTGTCTTCTTTTCCTCTTTCCCTCCTTTAGGCCTGGCGCACAAAATGACATCACGCATTTGCCTCCGTTGAAATTATATCCGGAGCAGCTGAAGGGCAACCCAACTAATTTGATCACAACCAAATAAGCATAACAACATCAATTAAAAATCGAAAGAAAAGATCATCTCAGCAAACAACTTGCACATGTGAAAAATTCCAACATATTATCACGATATCGTCCGCCAGGCTGTCAAGAATCGATGGTGAAAATACTAGAATCTAGCGAATTATTCTACTTTTATCTGGAAAATTAGATTATCGTGTGTATTCTAGATTTTACAGGAAGAGATTTAGGGATATATAAGAAGGCCAGCATTGGTTTGTAAGTTTAGTTTCAGTTAGACTGTGATACGATTTAAATAGTGATTGTAAAGAGTTTAATTGTTGAGTTAGTTATTAAACTAATTAGTGTCAGAGTGTTTTGTTAAGTGGAATAAATTATTGCTGTGTTAATTGGACTTTGATTTTTGGAATAAACGAAACGAACAACGAACCCAAGATTTCTGTCAGGCAACCCAAAGCCGCGACAATATTTACCATTTTACTGGTAGAGTCGATTTAAGAAAAGTCGTAAACGTCAATAATTTGTCTTCTCCTTTCACTCTATTTTAACTTAACAAGAAAAGTCTCAAGATTCTAACCGGAGTTCTCTCGGGACATTGCAGACTTAAGAAACACCTACAGAAGTTGGGGTTAGAAGAAGGTGGCACCTGCATATTCTGTAAAGACAGAGAAGAGACCCTCACCATCTTCTATTGAACTGCGATGCCGCTAGTCGCTCAAGGATGAAGAACCTGGAAAGTGCCCTCATACAGTTGGAAGACATTCCAGCCCTGGAACCGCTAGTCCTAAAGGACCTAGGACTGGAGGGGCTGCTTTGAGCAGGAAGCCCGAACTTAG